TTGCTTCCTGCCTGGGGGCAGTCTGGCTTCCAGGCAGACCTCTGATGTCTTGCTGAGCACTCTCACTTTGTGTGCGAGGGCCTCTGTGTGTGGGGGGTGTAGCCTCAAGCTGTGTTAGATGGCGAGTGTTTGGGCTATGAGGATCAGCTGAACGGGTCCTTTTCCGTCTGTCCACTGGTGGTGCATTTTGTCTGGTTGGATTTCTGCTCCGGGAAGCGGTTTGGTTCCAAGGCTGAGGCCGAGATCTGTTCACCGATCTTGATTCTGGTATGGGAGGATGGGTAGTGTAGTCTGTATTGTCAGAGGTGTACTCAGGTGAAAACTGTTCTCTCTGAAGTGTGCTGCTGTGATACGCTGGTGTACCTCGAAGACGATCCCATGGCATCTGATGAAGAGAGGAGCTAGGAGTGGCACTGTGACTTTCTGATCTTCTGTCAGACCTGCTACGATGATCCATGTCCTGTTGGTAGGTTTGTGTGTTGGCGTTTCGCTGAGAAGTGTTATTACTGTTATAGTGTGTGTATCCAGTCGGGATAAGGTCAGGCTGAGCCTGAAGATCTGTGTCTATGTAACCATTCAGTCGGGGGTCACTTGGATAGAACTGCCCACTTTGCCTTCTGGGATACACCTGTTCTGTATGGCTTCGTGGAGCATTACTATTGGCTGAATTGGTATGAGGAAGTGAGCGGTCTTGCTGAATCCATTGCCCATCGGTTGGGTATGAGTTCACATTGACATGAATGGTGGGCATTTGTGCATTATTGTCTTGCTGGGCAGTTTGTGGCAGCGTGTTAAGGTTGACGTGGACTGCCGCCGGGTGGTTGCTGCCCTGACCAGCACCAGCCTGTATGGGAACGTTAGGGGTTTGGCGCGTTAGGATTTTGTCGCTGTGTGTTTGGCAGTGTATTTGCATTTTGAACATTAGTATGCGTGAAAGCTGGGTTGTCAATGCCATTATGGGGGTTTGAATTAGTGCTCTGAATAGCATTGTGTAGGAGTCCATTTGTGTGGGTGCGACCATTGTGTGGGCGTGCATTGAAGTTATACAGGCTGTTCGGTTGTAGTGTCCGTGGGTCGTCACGTCTTTCGCGCTGAGCTGTATACAAGCGGTCGGGGTGGTGCCTATGAGTGTTGGTGTGATAGAGGGGGGGTTGTTCCCTTGCACCATTAGGTTGTGAATATGTAGCCTTAATGGGAACAGATGAAAAATAAGGGGAGGGAAAGAATAGACAGCAAAAGAAAGACAGAATGAGGGGGTTAATTTGTAAAAGGCCCTTTAGCACCATCATATGGACAAGAGAAAGACAAATTCAATAGTGAATTATATGTAAACTGTTCCAGTGGCTTACTATAGGTCTGGTGTTTGGGTTGGTGTTCTGGATGACCACAGTCTGTCCTTGCCTCTCCTCTGCTGTAGTTATAGAAATTTAAAAAATAATAATGTACTTTAGCAGGAAACAAATGCCTGAACTATTTAGCACTGATGGATATGGAGATCTCAAATAGCCTTTTACAAAGTGATGAAAATACAACAAAATGAAAAGTTGACAAATAATATGTTCATGATTGCACACACTAACTTACCCCTCCTCTTTCGTCTGAGATAAAGAATAAGTAGGATGAGGAGCACAATGAGTAGGATGAACAGCAAACATCCAATCACAATCCCCACCACTTCCCCTACATTGAGACATACATCTGGAATAGAAAGAATGGTGTCAAAGGGGGCGAATTAATAAAGATAATCAGTCTGGAGCTCAGACAGATGAGAGAAGAGGAAAAGAAAAAAGAGGAGAAAAGGGGACGATTTTAAAAAAAGAATGATAAAGTAGCAGCAGTGAGAAAGCCAGGGAGAGAAAGAAACGAAAATAAAGGGAACAGAGAGCATGTGTGAAAGTCAGTGAATGACTTTGACTACATCCTCACCAGATCAATCTCCCAGGATACTTTCTGTCCCTCTCCTGTCGTGAAGACAGATACAGGGATAGAATCCAAAACCAGCCTTCATCATTATCAGTCACACAGAGGTCAGCGTCCACCTTAACTCACCTACGATGGCTACGCTTGTCCCCTGCTGTGAGGTGACTCCAGAGATGGTGTTTCTGGCCGTGCAGACGTACTGGCCGCTCTGATTGGTCGTGAAAGTCTGAAGGGTGAGCACCCCACTGTTCACCTGGTCAGACGCGACAGGCTGTCCGTTGTATTGCCATGAGAAGAGGGCAGGGGGCAGCGAGTTAGACGTACAGGTGAGGCGCACCGCCTGTCCCAGCTGCACATCCCCTCTCCCAACACACTGTTTTGGGGTTTCTTTGGTCAGCACAGGGGTATCAGGGCCATCTGTGTTGGTGATGATCAGAGGACATCATCATCAGCATCAAAAGGTACAAGAGGGAAAACCTGGTCTCCAAAAAAAGCTGATTCTAGTGCACAGATTACACACGTCAGTTTTGGGTTTAAGTCACTTCGTCTGGCTAAATCATACTGGTGAACCTTTTTTGACCCACTTTGCACATTAAAATTGCAATGGCTCTTGAATCAACATGTGTCTTGACAGTTCATATTTACAGTAGAACCTGACTGAGAGGTTCACTGTCCAGTCAAAATCCTGCATAAAGGCTGAGAAAGGACACCTCAATGAGGAGACATTCAAATAAGTGTATTTCATAAAGACTCTGGGATAACAATTCCAAAGTGCAGCTTAGTGGTGTAAAGTGATGTTTAATTAATCCTTCAAGCTATTTAAATGTGAGGATTTGTGACTTTTGTCAATTTCATATTATTGTAAAATAAATATCTTCGGACTGCTAGTCAGTCAAAGCATGGCATTTCGAGATGCCACCTTAGCTTCAGGAAATAACTATTTTCAGGTCATTTATAGAGTGATTGACTCATTGAATTGAATCATCAAAAGTTGATTAAATAATGAAATTGTTAGCTTCACCTCTAGTGTTATGAACTTCGCACAAATGAAACTACCCCTGTAATAGTAATATCATGGATTCACTCTACAATCAAGTTAAATTCTGTTGATGAACACTTGTGGCCTCAAGTAGTGGTGATTCAAAGTTGATTACAGGTACTGCCAAAACATTTGTTTAAGTGCAAATGGCTCCAGTGATTTTTACCAACACACATGATCTGGGTACATGCTAGGTGTTAGAGAACAGAAATATGGATGGTAGCCAGTGTCGCATGGGACATTACTGTCACATCAGAATTAGTGATGTGGTCAAGACAAAGCTGGAAACAGCACAATAAGTTTATGGAAGAATGCCCTGTGCAATCCGAGTGCAATTCAGCACACTGTACCATATGCAGTGCAGTGTGGACAAACAGATAAGCTACTACTATTTGCAGTGGCTACAGCAGATTAGCTGCCACTTGTCTTGATCGATGTAAACTCACAGTAGACAGTGAGGCTCCGCGAGGCAGTCTGGGCGCTGACAGGGTTGCTGACAGTACATGTGTAGGTCCCGGTATCATTACGTGTGGCTGGGTTGATGATCAGGGAACCACCCGAGATGGTGATCCTGGAGTCGGCGATGATGGCTACGTCGTTTTTGCCCCACTGCACGTTAACCTCTGTCCCAGCAGTCCACGTACAACTCAGAGACACATTTCTGTTTTCTATGGCCACTGAGGGAACCACCAGAGTCACCCCGGCCACTGCATCTGCAGGGAGAATCAAAGCTAAAGATTTCTCCAAAGAGCTACAAAAGCAGAATTACAAAGAAATGGTTTCTGGAGACATTATTACTGTAGGTATGGACCATAAGAGAGCACACTTCAAAGGCTGGAGTGACAGAACAATAGAGGGCACTTTTATGTTTCTGTTGAGGATAATTTGTTGTAATCAAAGCAAGTGAGAGCTGAGAAGGGACAGGATTCAGATAGAAGCACAGATGGTGAATAAGGGGGCAGACGGTATGAGTGGTGGCCGAGATGCCTCTTGGTGGGCAGCCTGAGTTAAATAACTGAAGAGGGAGAGGAGGGGGCATACGAACAGAACAAGATGCTGTGACTAAGAGAGAACCAGGACAGCAACACCAAACAAACAAAAACATTTCAGCAAATAGTCCTCATCACTTGCATTTTTGCAGACTTTCCACTTACTTGTGACTCAGCAGAAGCATTTAAAATTTTTAGCTGCCTCTCATTTCCAGACTAAGTTATGAGTGAGTAGGAAGTGTCGTGCTCAAGGACTCGACTGTGTCATGGCACGGGCTAGGTGGATGTAACCTTTCAGCAATAATAGCCTACCACTTCTAAATATTTGGTCACGATGCCATTCCATTAGCATTGACAGTAACAGAGACGTCATCCCTCTACCGTGGGTGGATGCCTGAAAATGAAGAGAGCCACTCAGCTGTTCAGGCTCCATTACAGTACTAAATGTAAATGAAAGCCAATACTGTGTGTACTGTATGTAAATGTAATGCTACATTTAGACTGCTACACTATCAAACATCTAAGAGCATGAGCATATCAAATGAGTTTTAATTAGCATAAAGCTCCGAGCCACTAGCTTCATCCCCTCCTCCTTTTTCATTAATTTTACCTCGCCTACGATGGGTCACTAATTTCATTATAACTCCCAGACTAATTCTCTTACTCCTCAAATCCTCCCTCTTCTCTTTTACTCCCTTCTGTTCCTCCTTAACATTATCACTCCCCTCAAAACCTCCCTCTCCTGCACAGTCCACCACTCCTCACACCTTCCCTTTCCTCCTCCTCCTCCTCCTCCTCCACTTCTTCTCTCTGAAGTGAACTCACATGCACATGTCTTTGTCTCTTACCAAACACCCTCAGGTTTACTGTTCTGGAGTTAGTAGCAAGGCCTGTGGTAACAATGGGGGTCACCATCACCGTGTAGTTCCCTGCATCTCGGAGCTGGGCGCCTCCAATTTGGAGCTGAGTGGCAGTGATGGTGACCCTCCCCTGGAACTGGGGCACTGGGTTAATCACTGCAGCTCCTCCAGCCCACAAGCCCAGAGTGACAGCTTGGTACTGCCATGTCATGGACAGGACTTCAGGCACTGTCAGCACAGTAAAGACTATCTGAGTACCAGTCTGAACCAGCACTGGGTCTGTCTGGAACTGAATCGGCACCGGGTTCTGAGTCAGCACACTGGCCGGGAGGACTAAACAGAGAATAAAAGGAGAGAGAGTCAGTGGTGGAAAGGACATTAACTCAAGTTGTTAGACATTTTGCCAAAAGGTATTTTACCTTCCAAACATCTGAGACTGTTTCACTTAAATTACAGCTTAGGGTTCCAAAATGATAAAATTAGCAATAATTTCACAGCAATACTAAGAATTTACAGCCATGCTAGTAGCTCTGAGGCTGTCTGCACAGTGGTGCTTTGAGCTGAATGCTAAGGTCAGCATGCTAACATGCTGATGCAAACTGGATACAATGTTTACCATCATGACCATGTTAGTTTAGTGTGTTAGCATTCTAGTATTGGACAAATTAAAATAGTGGTGCTAGATGAACAGTTAAGGAGAACAGCAGAGCTATTACAATTCCTCCTTAGGGGGACATGAAGGTCTGTGCCAAATTTCAGGGCAGTCCATCCAGAAGCTGCAAAAATATTTCTGTCTCTAATGTTTCTGGACCAATCTGTCAGACCAAGCCCTGACGCAGCAACAGTGCACTCCCTAAATCCATGGTGCTACCATGGCTATAAACATATAATAGGTTTTTAAAATACATGTACTGTTAAAGATTAATCCAGAGACTGCAACTTTTTGGGGTTTGTAACCCCTTATAAAAAGCACTGTCTAGGTGGAGCCCATAGTCTCATTTCAGATGTTTCACCGAAGGAATATTTCATAATACTTCTGCACTTTTACTGAAGGATCTGAATGCTGCTCTCACCACTGCTGAGAACAAAATCTATAGATACACACAGACTGGGCTCAAGGGGCAAAAACCCATTAGCAAGGTACACACTTTTCCCTTCCTTGTAGATTTCACACCATGTTTTTTTGATTGTAAGTGATCCCGAGCTAAACATCTATTTTGTGTTTTTGTTAGGGTGACTTAAGGTAAACCAAACCAAACTCATATTTGCTGTCTCTCTTCCCATGAATAATTGCTGCATAGGCAATTTTTCAAAAACACTATTGCAAAGAACCACTGATTTTACACAATCAGGCATTTAACTGATGCTGTCTGTCTGTAGTCTGCATACGAGTGAAGATGGAAAAGAAAGAAAAAGTTGCCTGCCAGTCCGTCCTAATTTTTTATGTTGGCATTACAGATTCCAGCAGGAAAACCCAGGCTGATTTTTAAAATGGCCTTTTATTGGCACATAAAGCTTAAAAGCAAACAAAAGGCCCTGTCCAGTGAATTACAGTGAATCAAATCAATATGGTTCTAATCAGTCTCGGTGGACTGCCTTCACACAATTATCATGTGGGAGCGGAGTTTAAAATGACAAGTAAAGGAGTGTGCTCAGGTTACCACCCTGAGTTGTTTAAGTGTTTCAGTGCTCCATTAAAATAACAGTGGCCTTGTTGCTTTTTCAACAATGAAAGAAGAGTCATGACTCACGAGCGAGAAACACCCAAGAGTGGCACAGCACAGGGTCGATGCCTTTAAGTGCTGTTGGAATGGTTTAACAAGGCCAGAACAAGTGAAACACAAGTTGTAAATAAGACTGAAAGAGCTAGAATTAAAGATGATTTATAACTACTAATGTGAAACTATGTAAGTGATTTACTTGTAGATGTGAACCTTAAATGAACAATGGCAGGGAGCCCAGAAGTCATGCCAACAACTGTAGTAAAACTGAAGAGATGATGAATCTGTTAATCACAGAGATTAACTGGCAGCCACAAAAGTTTTTACTTTATGCTGCTGAACTTTAGGTTTCTCTGGGTGGGTGTAATGGATATCACTGTTCATTTTAACAGTCCATTTCTCCCAAACTTACTGCTGTTTCTGGAAATGTAAAATAAATCACTTCTTGTGCACCAAAGGATGTTTTTCAGAGACACTTCACCAAACCGCAGGCATTTAGCGTACGAATGGTAAAATGCTTTTATGAAATGTGTAGGTTGAATCGCCATTGTGCAATATCTACTGTCGATACACAGCAGTAAAATGAATATTTAATAATATGAAAATGTTTCTGATTATTACTTTAATTATTATCTTTCATGCATGAACAACAACCCTTAGTTAATGAACAAATTAAAATATCATTTACATTCCTAGTGTTCATTTCCTTTGCTCATCTTGCTGCTGCAGCACAAATTCCAAAAGTAGGTCTGTGCTGCTTGATCTTTCTCATTTTTATGCATCCAACACTCTGTTATAGCAGTGTAGGAAGAAACAATCATAAATTTTGGATGGTAACATTTAATACTACAGTAATAGATACACTATTAATTTGGTGCCCATAAAATGCGGTGCTCTTAAAGGGCAAGGCTAGCAGTATTCTTTGATTTTTTTATAGTCCACAAATGAAAAGAACAAAACCAGAAATGTATGAGCCCGTCTTTCAGCATTTTCTGACTCGTGGCACTTAGCCCAAGGCTCGTCTGTTCCCACTGAAGTCGTAAATCTGCTCACAAATACAGTCTTTTTTTTTTTTTTTAAACAGGCCAGGTGATTTTTCAAACAGCTGTGCACTGTAGATATAAGAAAACGTTACTCAAACATGAGCATTTTCAGCTGCAGATTAATACATTAATCTTGTGCTGTTGTTAGCTTTACGACAGCAGAGCGGTACAGGTGGCTTCTTTCTTTCTTTCACTTTATTTAACCAGGTAAAAAAACCCATTGAGATCATGATCTCTTTTACAAGGGTGACCTGGCCAAGAGGTCAACAACACATGTCGTCAATACATAAGTTTCAATACAAATCAAAACATTAAACATTTAAACAATCAAAACCATAAATACAATAATCAACAATATAACCAATTGTTATAATGAAGAAATAACCTGTATCAGACTTTGGCTACATAAATACTTGCTAGAAGGTCTTTTTGTGGAATTCACTGACAATAAAGACAAGGCAAAATATCACTAGCCTTATTCCTTAAGTTGGTGACACAAGAACAATCGTCACAGGATTTCTCCCTCATTTTCTCTGTGTAAAGATTGAATTTTAACTATGTGAAACATCTGTTACAATTCTGTATTACACACACATAAAGCATAAGAATAATAATAATAATAATAATAATCACCTTTATTTGGCCAAGTATGTTACAAGGAATTTGCTTCCGGTACAGAACCGAGGCAGCCATCTGTGGCGCCAACTCACACTGATGTCTCTAACTATCTGGGGCAACGGGGGTTCAGTGTCTTGCCCAAGGACACTTCAACATGTGGACTGTAGGTACCGGGATTCAAACCACCAACCCTCCGTTTGGGAGACTACTGCTCTACCCACTGAACCACAGTCACCCCCAAGTATAAAAAAGTATAAAAGGTTATGTTATTATCTTCTGTGTTTACTTTATTTATTTATTTATTTTGCCTGGTTAGAAATTTTGATTTTTGTTATTAAATGCAGGCTGGTGTGGCCTCCTTTCTCCTCAGAGCCTTCCTCACCTCATCCTTTCTAATCTTTGCCACTTCCTGCTCTACAATATTCACCTCTTCCCCCCTTCTTTCCCTCTCATTTTCCTCATTCATCAGTTCCTCAAAATACTCCTTCCATCTTCTCTGCACAATCTCCTCACTTGTTAGCACCTTTCCATCTCTGTCTTTAATCGCCCTTATCTGTTGCACATCCTTCCCATCCCTATCTCTCTGTCTCACTAATCTCTTCTCTTTATTTAACCAGGTAAAAAACCCATTGAGATCATGATCTCTTTTACAAGGGTGACCTGGCCAAGAGGTCAACAACACATGTCGTCAATACATAAGTTTCAATACAAATCAAAACATTAAACATTTAAACAATCAAAACCATAAATACAATAATCAACAATATAACCAATTGTTATAATGAAGAAATAACCTGTATCAGACTTTGGCTACATAAATACTTGCTAGAAGGTCTTTTTGTGGAATTCACTGACAATAAAGACAAGGCAAAATATCACTAGCCTTATTCCTTAAGTTGGTGACACAAGAACAATCGTCACAGGATTTCTCCCTCATTTTCTCTGTGTAAAGATTGAATTTTAACTATGTGAAACATCTGTTACAATTCTGTATTACACACACATAAAGCATAAGAATAATAATAATAATAATAATAATCACCTTTATTTGGCCAAGTATGTTACAAGGAATTTGCTTCCGGTACAGAACCGAGGCAGCCATCTGTGGCGCCAACTCACACTGATGTCTCTAACTATCTGGGGCAACGGGGGTTCAGTGTCTTGCCCAAGGACACTTCAACATGTGGACTGTAGGTACCGGGATTCAAACCACCAACCCTCCGTTTGGGAGACTACTGCTCTACCCACTGAACCACAGTCACCCCCAAGTATAAAAAAGTATAAAAGGTTATGTTATTATCTTCTGTGTTTACTTTATTTATTTATTTATTTTGCCTGGTTAGAAATTTTGATTTTTGTTATTAAATGCAGGCTGGTCTGGACTAATTAATAACTGATAAAAACTTTTATAAACAACAACCCAGTATCTGTACAGATAGTCGGCCTAATTATGTATGAACAACACCCATGTAGCCTGTAATTATTGTATTAAAATTTCAGTATCACCCATCACTGTGAACAAAATACCAAGTAGCATACAAAAATAGAAACAATAACAATCAGCATGAAAGCTCAGATGTAGGAACCTGAGAGGAAGCCCTGAAGGCATCACGTCACTCAGCAGTAGGAGCACATTTCACCTTAATACACACATGGTTACAGATGGGAATGCAGCCGCGCTGGTTTAACGGCAGTTAAGACGAGCTTTGTGATTGAAATGATTTGATTTGATTTGATTTGATTTATTCATTCAAGCATGTAAAACAGTTGATATCTCAACACACATAATTTTACACATATCCAACAAATGCTAATCCAATATCAATTTACTTATACCTAGTACATGCTTGAACGGAGTAGGAAGAAGTTAGACTTATCCAGTCCTACTCCATGACATCATTTTACACTTTTTAAGTCCTAAGCAATATCTCTACATAAATAATTCTCTTCTACACCACACAAGTAATATACTAAAGTATTATTACAAAGTGTTAACATTCATACACCACACCCACAATGTTACACCTGATTAATCATTAAACCTGTTCTTGCATATATCTTGATTGACACATACCTTTATATTTATGTTTAAACTCCTCAATTCTATTACTATTTTTTATGTATACGCTTAAATTGTTCCATAGTTTTACCCCACTTATGGAAATACAAAGTCTTTTTTTGGTTGTACGTATAGCATGAATTTTTAAATTTAACTGACCCCTTAAATTGTATCCCCCTTCCCTTTCATTAAATAGTTTTTGAATTCCACCAGGTAATAAATTGTTCCTGGCTTTATACATAAACACAGCAGTCTTATATCCCACTAAATCAAAACATTTTAACAATTTAGACTGTATGAAAGCTACATTGGTGTGATCCCTGTACCCCATCTTATGCACAATTCTTATCGCTCTTTTTTGTAATATATACAATGGTTGAAGTGAGCTTTTGTATGTGTTTCCCCAGTTTTCAACGCCATACTCTAAGTATGGTAAAATCAATGAAGAATACAAAACGTGTAGTGCTTTCCCGTCCAAAATATATCTAACCCTTGCCAATATCAATATATTTTTGCTATTTTGTTCATGCAATTGTTCTCTATATACGTGCCTGGAATAGTACAACTCCTCTTCCTTTTCCTGCCCCGACCCCATGTTCTTTTGAGACTTTTGTGAACTGTTTCAACGTTACTGTCTCCACAGGAATAGTGAAAACTAAGTGCAAATTGTTTTACCTGCCAGCAACAGACTGATAAGGAGCACTGGCTGTCTCATGTCGTCAGTCAGGCCGGTCTGCAGAGAGATTAAACTCTTAAATACAACAAACAACCTGGCTGTTATTACTGTGCTATATACTATTCAGTTCTGTTCATACCTGATAGAAATGACAAACATGACATTATATTAGTCGTACACAACTTACCAAAGTGTTTTATTCCTGCCTTCATGTTTAGCTCTGTGCTGAACTAAAGCTTTTAGCTCAGTATCGACGGATGTTTGCTAACTAATACACCTACTTCTTGTATCTTCATACCTGTCAAGGACACACCTCTTAAAGGGCCCGCAGCCTTTAAATGTGATAAACTAGTGATGGGAAATTAGCCAATGCTATGTTCACATTACATGCTGAAGTGGCCTAAATCAGAATTCCCCCAGGTGACTCAGATGTTTCAAACCAAGTTGCACTTTTTCAGATCATAGACCACTTGCATATATGGTACTAGATCCGATTCATATTCAGTCTCTGACTATGTGACCTCTGTCAGAATCGGGTCAGAATTCATGTGATGAACATCTCACTCTGTGCATGCTCTCATTGCCTGTTGCCATTAGTGTGGGTTTCGGATTTGGTACCAACTTTTGGAGAAGTTTCTGATCAAGCCAATGTAGAAGGCACTTATTGTAAAAGAGCAGGTTTCAAGGAAATTGTGCAATTTGACACTTGCACATACGATGTTGTTATTTTTGTACTCATGTAGCTCACATTTCCATTAAAACCGAGCATTACAGACAGTTATTTTTAATGAAACATTTTAATTTTTAAAGTAGTTCAACAAGTAATTAATCTCATATACTGCAGTAAAATGTATAAAGTATAAAATAGCATAAAATATAAATACTCAAAAAGGACAAGTACTTCAAAACTGAATTTAAGCACAGTACTAGAAAAAATGCCATTGATATCCACTACTACATTTAATGGTAACATTAAGTCATACGAGCAAGAGTAAATCTTATACAGTACTGTATATTTTTACAGCCCACATACAGTATGATAAAGATGTGTTCAGAAAGGATCAGGACCTTTAAATTCAGTGGGTTTAACTTATTTTTCCTGCCTTTTACCTTTGTTGAAAGGGTTTTTAGATGAATGACATTCATACTGATGAGACAAAAGATACCAGTGCACACTGATAGCAGTCACACAGAGACCGTATCACTTTTCAGAGAATATAATTGTCTTATTTTCCCAAAATAATAATGGGTCCCTTTGATGTTCATGATCCAAGGTTATTTTTTATTTGTACTGATTACAGTGTCACATTGCAGCTGTGATCATATAAAGCAAATGATGAAATTATATGAAGTAATAACATATTCGATTTGTTGCTTAATGAATTCACTTGTCCAGTGGCATGGAGTATTGTGAAGCAAAACCAGAAACTAATTGTTCTGGATATGGAATCAGAAGCATGTGATGATGATGTCTGAAGAAAAACATTCTGATACAAGGGTGAAGTGTAGATAGTTTTCAGCTGATGTATTAGTGCCACCCACTGGTTAATTCCAGCTAACAGTACCCCTCTGTCGACAACGCACTCAGTGGGAGCCACAGCTGTGATTCCCATGATGATTCATAAACTCTCTGCAAAGACAAATGGATTTATAATCAGTTTTAAATCACTTGTTATGTCTGTGCCCCAGGATGCATTTCCTAAAGTGAGAAACTGCAGAGCTAAGGCTGAAATAATAATGCCATTATGTTACACTTCCAGTAGCTTAAAAGATGTGCTTTAGCTAACAAAACAACCTCATTAATAGCTGTTGTGGAGCTTTCAAATATATTATGGCATCATCATCATCATTGACGCAAGATTTTTTTTTCAAACCAGGTTAAATTCAGATTTGTGTTAGAAATGGGCACTTTATTTTGCTGTGACTGTAATAAATCAGCGGCCAACTCATTGGTAATGAAACAGACTTTGACTTCCCCAGAGGTATAAAATTCTCTTGCTTCCCCTTTATGTGCTTGAAGGTGTTTGCATGGGACAATTATTGGAAAAACATAGGAATAAAGAAATTTGTGTATTACCTCCTCTTTACAGTCCAAAGCCAATACAGTGCATTGTGTCCGCAGGGCAAACAGTGTTTGTGCGTGCTAATAAGTCTGCAATACAAAACCTTTTTCAAAAGACTGAGGTCTGAGACTGTCATTTGTTTCCCTTTAATAGATTGCCATTGCATTTTTCTCCGTTTGCACACAGTGCAACAACAGTGGTGTGAAGACCCAAACCTGAACATGTATAATTGTGGGAGCATATGGTTAGACACATCAGGTTGGAGAAAGGAGGGCTGATTTTACAATGGAAAGTTCACTTATGTAAAAACAGAAAGAACCGTCACTGTACAGGAAGGGGGGGGGACTACTTGAAAACAAGGTGACGCCTGCATGGCTCAGACTGAACCTGACAAGCAGTGCAAAGGTCCAGAGAGAGAAGAACAAGGCCCTAAAGCATTTTTTGCTTTACTTCCTTTGATGTTGTTTTCAGTAAAAGCTGTTGATTTGGAACTGTCATCTATAACTAGATTATTTCTCAAACCGCAATGGCAACTGCTCTGAAGAGACTGTTTTATTTTGGGCCATAAATATTCTCACAGACTGCGAAAGCGAACCAAGTGGAAGAGCTCTGGCTTGACTGTATTGTCTGTTTCAACTTTGGAGAGGTACGTGGGTTCTACTCTAAAATAAATTCAAGGTAAATTGCAAAAGCAATTCCAGGCTTTATTTAATGCATGCACGTTGGGGTTGTGTTCGTCCTCCACTATCAAATCCCTCTTGCTCCATGTTTTGCTGTAGCAGCTGTGCTTGAGGAGTTTCATCTTGGTTTTGGCAGCACACCCATCCCTAGTTTGTTCCAAGTTCTGACTGAAGCGCAGTCTGCAACAACAGTACTGGTGTTCTTTGGATACTCCACAAATAAATTAAGAGAAAAATTACCCTAAACATTTGGATTACATTTTTAACGAACTACTGCCTTAATTGTTTTTGGTCTCATTTTAATTCCACATGTTCCCTGGAGGTGGTGTTTTTATTCTTGTTGTAATTTCACCTCTGTTGCATGGGTACAGAGGAAATGGTCTGCTGTTGCTGAGGTCATGGACAAAGTTTTTTCTCTGTTCTCTCTCTACAGCAGCAGGTGTTATGGAACTACAGTATTTCCTGTGCTGCAGAGTTGCCCCACTGCTTCTCTTAAGTAAGGCTTTTAGTTATTACCACACTTCAGGCAAAAAAACATACTTGAAACTACAGAAAATAATATTTTATAACATGTTTGTGTGTGTGTGTGCAAGATAAGACAACATATTTTAAAGGATAAGCTGACAATTTTTTTCAAGTTTGTCTTGAAACAACAGTCAGGTCCCTGAGTACTGAAACATATGAATAGGAGGATTACAGCAACAAAACCTGTTTTCATGCACATGTGGGCACCTGTGTTTAAAGACAGACAAACATTTGTGAATCTATCCTTTAATTCTCAGAGCACATAAAATATCACAGCAGGCTTAGATGTTGCATCCAGCACAAATGCAAAAGAACTCATGTAAACTGCCTTTTGCATTAATAACACACAGTTGCATTATTTACATCACCTCCATTCTTTTCCTGTCAAGCTAAGACACATGATTAATACCCCTAGTGGTAAAAGCACACATTCTTACCAGGGCCATTGCGGCTCTGACACAGATTTTAGGATACTGATGTGGCTTGATGGATATCATATTAGGCATGGCTGTCATGCAGTATAAATCATTGCTTGACATTGTTTGACAGAAAGCATCCATACATATTCATAAAATACATGCACAGAATGGAGATGAAGTAATATGCAATTGTTTGTTTTATTAGCTTCCTGTTCTGCCCAAATAATGCAAACCTTCCAGAAGCCGAAAGGTCAAAACTGATGAATATGAAATGCTCTGAGTCATCCTGGACAGCTGAGTAGAAATATACTCTGCATGAGCATGACAGCACCAGACACTGATGAACATGCAATAACAGTTGGTCCAATCTCTGCCCTGTCCTCAGTGCCATATAGGCTCCAGTGTATGTCAGTACACATCCTCAGTGAGGAGCCTGTGCTTGTCATTCCTGGCTCCAGTCTGGTTTTGAAAGCCCAGATTGAGCATGGACCCCTGGAAGAGGTCTCCATGGTAACCTGGGAACGGGAGCCCGAAACTGGAATAGCTCCTATGAGGGAAACACTGGCCACATGCCCTGGTGGAAGCCTCAAGTGTGACAGTACAAGGCCAAATGTCCATGTGAACATGGGGCAGCACAAGACGACACTTCAGATTAATGGATACACCAGAGTGGACCGCGGCGTGTATGCTGTGACTGTGATGGATCACAAAGGAGTCAAGACCACTGCACATTGTATTGTCAGGGAATATGGTACTGTATGGTGTGCAGCATATGAAGGAGCTTTTTGTGGCGCCCATTAGTTTACATTAATCATTTTAAAGTTATTAAATTGTGTTCAGTTATGTTACTCATTTCTCTCTATGTGTAATAAGATCCCTGGTACATCACATCCCCAATGTATGAGGCAATATCAAGTGGGATAATGTTTTGGATTTGTGAAGGAGGCGTGTTGAAGCTAAAATGGAGCATTAAGATGCTCTTTAATTTACTAAATGAAAATGAATCGAAGGTTTTGGTTTCTCCATTTTACAGATTTGCAGTTTTTTGTCCATGTCATTTTATACTGACTCAAACACTCTCACCTCAAAGTAGTTTCTGTAGCAGCCTTTCTGGTGCTTTCAGTCACTTTTTAAAGTTTGTCAAGGAACTGTGGATTGTCAGGTTTCTATTTTTTGAGCATCTTAAGGATTTTTCATTTAGGGTTAGACTTAAAGTTGAAGTTTGTAGTCTATTTTGACCATGCAAAGAGCAAATCCACTGGGCTTTTTAAAACAATGTTTAGAGTAATTACGGTCAGTAATTGAAAGACAGCAAGAAGGGATCTGTGAAATTTGCATTTGTCCTTGTGGTCTGACATTTTCTTGACCAAGCAATTGAAAAATAAACCAAAAGATTAATGAATAAGCAAAATCATCACAAACAAAGACTCACGGGATTCAGCTGTAATCTTAGATGATTCCTCCAGCAAGGAAAGTGTTGCAAGTTTAAAAAAGTCAGTGGATGGTGCTGTTAAGTTGCAACCACCAAGTTGCTTTCATGCAAAAAAATTTTAGCAATGCTACAGCAGCGGTTTATGCCTTAATCCACCTGCCTCATATAGACAGCGTAGGTTTCACAGTGAGGATATACAAGCTGAAATATTTCAAAGACTCATCAGCTGAGTGTGTCCTGGCCTTTCTAGTGTTAATTCCAACAATTACCAACAGTATAATGAATGTGCTTTAATTGCACGCCAGCAGACATTGTTTCTTTCTGATGGAGATGTCTCATCTAATAATGAAATTAAGTTCGCCTATAGGCTTTGCTTTCTGAGTCTCTCTCTCTCTCTTTGGTTCTGGATGATTTTGGCTTTGCTGCAGCTTTCTCGTTTTCCGTAAAAGCATCTTTGCTTTTACTCTCATCTGTCTGCTCTAACAGTATCAGTTTAGGAGCTCCACTCTTCTCCACATCTGGTCTCTCAGCTACCATGGCTTTCCATCATCCCTTTCTAAGACATTATGCCTTACTCTGCGGTCTCATTATTGTCTCTGAAACTGAGCTCGTTTCTCCTGACAGCATTAAACTTCACTCGTGATTCTCTGTCTTAAACCCTCTTGAACAGCCCTGTGCCATTATTCTTATTATATAATAGATGCCTACGGCTGAACATACCTCCGCTTCTTTCTATCCAGCTCTGACTTTTTACCTTTATGCTTATCACCTCTTTTTATCTTTATCCTCCCTTCTGTTCATCTGTCTTTCCAGAGGCAGTGCACCACGTCTCCATCAGCATTAACGTGTCTCACTCCTTGCTGGTTTGCGGTGAGGCCTGGGGCACAGACCCCCACTTCAGCTGGTTCCACGAGAGAGTCGCCATCACTGACAGTGTGGGAGGTGTCTCCAAAGACGGAAAAACCCTAGCTGTGACCATGACTCCTATGTGTGGCCATTTCACCTGCATAGTTAGCAACAAACTGGGCTACAGTTCTGCAGCGTACGCGGCAGGTAAACATTGATCTTGTTTGTCTGTACTGACAATATTGTGCTTAGAAACAACCTGTGTACATTTTGCAGTAGTGTGTTTGCTGTATTATTTACCTTACTAAGAGATGTATTAATTATATTTTACAATAAAATAAATGACCTTG